TCTCCCCGGGAACCCGAGCTCCAGGTGGCCACAGTGGTGACTGGCTTGATCACACACATCTACTTCCTCCCTCCTCTCTCGCTTCATCATTTTCCTACCAGGATTTTCTGGGATGTGCTCCCAAATAAACTACAGTTGTGTGCTGCTTAACCACATTCCTTCAACCAACAGGCTACCCCATTTAGATGATGGTCCCAACAAGCTACCCCATTTAGTGCAGGTAGTAGGTGATCCCATTGAGGTATGCGTAAGTACACCCTGTGATGTTCACACGATGACAGCATTGCCTGATGATACATTTCTTAGACTGTATCCTGTTATTAGTGAGGAATGACTGTAAAAAGTAAACTCATTTAGGACTTCCCTGGTGGCGCTAAGGGTTAAGATGCAACCTATGAAGCTGTCCACAGCCACTGCAGCACGAGTTCAATCCCCAGCCAGAGAGCTACCCACATGGCACAGCAGACCTCTCCTGACTCGCCCACTGCTCCCCTCAGCAGTGTATTTCAGTCAATCTGCCTGTTCTGTTCCCCACTCTGTCTCTGGTGAGTCCTCTCACCCCCCCAAAACCTCTGGCCTGTACCCCAGTACTTGTATGCATAAATGAATAAATTGTTTTTTAAAAAAGTAAACTCATTTGAAATATTTTCTAGAGTCTGCTTCTGGGGACATTCAAACTAAGACATACACCCAAAGGAAATATGTAGTATCATTTTGGGTGTGTTAACACCAAAGGAATTGCATGAATTGTGAGGAATATTCTGCTTATTCTCATTGTTCCCATGATGAAATGGAGACTTAGAAAGTGAACAGGTTTGCCTAATGCATCACAACTTGCCTGCAGCAGCACTAGCACTCAAACTCATGTGTCCTGCACTCTCTCTACTGTCCTTCATTACACTGGCAGAGATGAAGGAGATCTCCGATTCTCTTCACTGCACCTGTGTCTCCTGGGTCATAAGATATAGGGATAATGACAGGAGGTCAGGTGAAGGAACCTGGAGAAATGGGTTGGTGATCAAAGTGCTGTGGGGCTTATTAAAATAGAAGTTAAAAGAGATTGTCTCACTAACTTGCTGTGTGACTTTGGTAAATTACTTACCTCTCTGAGTCTGACATTCTTTTTTATAAAAAAAAAAAGGAGGCTTGTCATGACTGGAAGGCAGGGCTTGAAAACCCAAATGGCTATAGGGGCCCACAAGATCATCCATATGAGGAAAGTGGTCCAGACAAGGCTGGTACAAACTGGACAAGCCAGGAGCCGTCTCCCGGCAGTACCTATTCAGCTTCACCAGTGCTGCCATCAGTGAAAAGCAGAGGAGCATAGCAGTAGGTTCCAGGCCCAGAATTGACAATTTTCCAAATTTTCAAGAGAAGACAGAAATCCACATTGATGTGAGTTCTGGACTTCATATATTAGCAATGAATTTAAAAGAATCACCGTGGGGGCAACCAAAATAGATCTATGGGCTGAAATATCTCAGGGAGAGGGGAGAGGTTGTCCAACATTTGAGCATTCAATTTTTTTAAGGCCCTACTATGTGCCAGGTGCCAGATGTTAGAGATAGTGGTACAAAACTGACTTATCCGTGCTGTCAAGGGATTTATTCCTTAAAAGAGTTTAAAGTCCAAGCCCTGGTCTCCCCTCCAAGCCCTGCTAAATGGTTGGGGTGAGATTAAGAATCATGCTTCCCACACCCACGAGTTTGAATATAATAATAATAGTAATAATTTCTAAAAAGGAAAATAGCAGGCATTGGCAAAGACGCAGAAATCCTCATATATTGTGAGAATGCAAATGGTGGAAAACAGTTTAGAGATTCCTCACGAAGTTAAACATGGAATTACTCTATGACTCTGCAATTCCACGGAAACTGAAAACAGGGGCTCAAGCCAATACGTGCACATATATGTTCCTAGCAGCACTATTCACAATAGCCAAAAAATGAGACAACCCAAATGTCATCTATGCATGAGTGAATAAACAAATCATGGTATATATGCACATATAATAAAAATATCATTCAGCCATAAAAAAGGAGGTACTGCTAAATGCTTTAATGTAGATGAACCTTGAAAATATGTTAGATGAAGGAAGCCAGACACAAAAGGCCATACCTATCGTATGATTTCCTTTCTATGAAATATCCAGAATAAATTAACCTATAGATATGAAAAGATGACTGGCAATTACCAAGAGCTGGGAGGAGGGGAAATGAGTTTCCTTTTAGAAAAGGAAATGAGTATGGAGTTTCCTTTTGGGGTGATGAAAATGTTTTGGAACTACTAAACGTGTTAGTTGCACAAAATTGTGGCTGCATTAAATGCCACTGATTTTTCACTTTAATTTAATGCTTAATTTTATAACAATAGGTGAATTCCACCTCAGAAATATTTTTAAAAATTTTATGCTAAATAAAAGTGCTTTGCTAGGATGGGAAAATAAAGTATGGCACATCCAAACACTGGATTACACAATGCAGCCATCAAAAATTCAAGAACATTGTAATGACATGGAAAAAATGCTTACAATGTAATGTTAAACAAATAAGTAGAATAAATGTTGTATAAATAGCATTTTACTAGTTATGTTAAAAAATGCACTGAAGACTATAGAAATATACTAAAATATTTGTTACCCACATAAAAAAATCATACTTTCATTGCTTGAGTACCTACTAAGTGTCAGGCACAGTGAACAGGTGCAGGGACACCATTACTCTTCTGTAGCAGAGAACGAGATTCCTGCAAGACCAGCCTGGGTCTAGAGAGACTGAGAGGAGTCATCTCTTTTTTCTCACCCGGCTCTCTACCAGGCATAGTCCTCCTCTCATGCAAAAGAAGAGGTCATCTGTGCCCCTCTGGAGAGCATTCAAGCTTCTATTTTTCCCAAGAAACACCTAATCCTGTGGCCAAGGTCACACATTGAACATGGGCCCAGCAGTTTGTTGTAGTGAACACCTGGAACAACCTGAATGGTCATCAACAGACAAGTGAGAAATAAGATGGGGTGGTGACCTACCCACCGAGACACACCAGTTGGAGGGATTGAACTAGACCTCTATTTTTCATCTTGGCCAGATGCTGACAACTTCATGACAAGAAGTTCTTAATGATAATAAGTTAAAGATAAAGGGAAATTGCAAAAGAATCTCACAGATAACATTTATGTAGATTTGTAAAAGAAAACAACATGGTATGTGTTGTTTATACATACATATCTATGTGTGTATATATATAATACACACATATAATACATTTATATAGGCGCAGACTGGAATGACTATAATGTAAGACAGTGGTTGCTTCTGGGGAGGGAAAGACCCAGGACTGGAGGGATGCAAGGTGGGGAGGTTTCAATTATATCTGTTACTTCTAGTAATTTAGTTTTTAAAAAAATCTGAAGCAGGGCCTCCTTGGTGGCGCAATGGGTTAAGACACAACCTATGAAGCTATCCGCAGCCACTGCAGCACAAGTTTGATCCCCAGCTAGGAAGCAACCCACATGGTACAGCAGACCTCTCCTGTCTCGCCCACTGGTCCCCTCAGCAGTGTATTTCAGCCAGTCTGCCTGTTCTGTTCCCTGTTCTGTCTCTGGTGAATCCTCTCATCCCCACACCTCTGGCCTATACCCCAGTTCTTGTATGCATAAATAAATAAATCTTTAAAAAATAAAAAATAAAAATCTGAAGCAAACAGGACAAAAGGTTAACATTTGTTAATTCTGGATGGTATGTTTCTGGGAGAAATTTGTCTTTTGTTCTCTTCATTTTTCTGTATTTTAACTGTTCCCCATCCCCCACGCAATCCCTCCAGAAAGATAGTGTAGAGAAAGTGGGATAAAGGAACTGGTACCTATTGAGACTCTCTGTACCAGTCAAAGGTTATGCCAGTGGTTCTCAAAGTGAGGTCCCTCAACCAACAGCATCAGCATCTGGGAATGAGCCTGTATCAGACCTACAGAATCCAATACTCTGGGTTTAAGGTCCAGAAATAGGTGTTTTGACTAGCCTCCCAGCTAATTCTGGTGTACCATTGAAGTCTGAGAACCACTGGCCTAGACCACATTGCTATGACAACAGTAATCATGTACTAGGCATGTGTACCTGACAGGCAGTCCTAAGAGCCTCCCTTCAGTAACTCAATCTAGTCTTCAAAAGAACCCTGTGCAGGCCTCATCATCATCCTCTCCATCCTACAGTTGTGGAAAGGCCCAATCCCCTGTCCCAAGGTCCAGTTCATAGGTTGCTCCCAGAAGCCCCCTTCCTTAACCACTACACAAATTGTCACAGACATCAGCTCTCACATATTCTAGCTCACTGCAGCTTTGGAAGGAAGAATTAACAGCTCCATTGACAGATGAGGAAACTGGAATTCAGGGAGGAAGAGTGACTGGCCCAAGCTCTCACAAGAAGGAAAGTGAAGGGCCAGCCTTCCTGTGGCTTGTGCAGGAGATTTTGGGGTTTGACCTAGACCTGTGGGCATGGGGATCGCGGGGATGGAAGAGGGAGAACAGGGAACGACCCAGCTGCAGCCCCTGCCTGGGCTGCCTCACAGGGCCAGCTGTCCCCTCCCCAGTGTGGCTGCCACCCTCCGTGACCCGCCACCCACCCCCACCAGGAACTGTAAGGACCTTCCCCCGCCCCCCCCCCGGGCTCCGTGAAGCCCCATCCCTTCCTTCTCGTTTTTTTTTCTTCTTCTTTTGCAAAGGGGAACCCAGATGGCTCGAGCGTAAAGTCACTTGGTGGCCTGAGCGTCCCCGCCCCGCGGGCTTTCCCAGGCTCGCAGGTCGGCACGCTCCCCTCAGCGGGGTTGGCCCCTCATCTCATAATCAGTCCCCGGTTCCTCCACCGACCCTTCTAACTTCCTTACCCCTTTTACCCCGCCCCTCCCCCCCCCCAACGAGCCCTGCCCACCACCCGGGGCTCCTCTGCAGCCCGAAGACCCTCAGGACAAGCTCACCACCCGGGGTGCTGGGCTCCCGCGTCCTCCGCACTCACCTGGGCCCCCGCTCTTCTGGCGGGCAACCCGGATCCTCGCAGCTCGAGCGCCCCCCCAGTTCTGCAGCTACCGGGGTCCTGGGACGCCCGGGTCCGAAGGAAGACGGACTGACTTTCGAGGAAAGGCTAGGGCAGCGCTCGGAGCGGCGTCCGCGCCACGGGCCGTCTCCAGCCCCTCTGGCACTGAGCTGTGCCGGCCCCCCGACTCTCCTCCGCGCCTCGGAGGTGCGCACGGGCTGGGACGCTGGACCGGGTGGCGCCCACAGGCCATCCGATTGCCTTAGGCGCGCCCGCCGCGATGCTAACTCCGCCCCAAGGAGCCTAACCCCGCCCCGAAAATTCAAACCCCACCCTAGGAATTCTAATCTCTGTCCCCACCTCTTAAAACCCAAATTCCGCTGCCTAAGGAAATTTTAAAGCTTTGGCTACTGGAGGCTACTAGCCCTGCCTCCCGGGGATCCCAACTCCGTTTTGAAGGCTCAGAACCCCGCCCCCAGTACCTTCAACCCGCCCTCCAGGGATCCTAACCCCGGCACCCTCCTCCAAATATTTTCCTAACACTGCCCCTAATGTATTCTAATCCCACCTCCCAATGCCCTCATACGGTCCCCCAAAGGAATCTAAGCCCCACCCGCAGGGATTCTAACTCCACCTCACAAGAAACCTCACACTGTTGCTGTTATAGGGCAGCCCCAACGCCAAGCGGGTTGCCTGACTGTGGGTCCTCACCCGCGCGCTTAAAAGGGACTTATTAGTACTCAAATGCAGGCGCACACAAAAGGTTAACAAAGGGTTTATTTACTAAAGAAAGGGAAATGAATATCTCGGGGAAAAAAAGAGGGAGATAAATTCATGAATGCGTCCTACCAGTTCCGCTGACCTGGAATCCCAATAGCAGGCTGAGAGCTGGCGAAGAGCCATGAGCTGTGAGGCCAAGAGCAATCCAAGGCCCACTTGTCTGGTTTTATACCAAATCTGGCTGCTTAACTCCACCCTTAGGTCCCAGCAACCCTCCCTTTGGTGATGATGGGATTGTCATTTCCAGTGTCTTGATGGCTTTGGTCTGGAGTCCACAAAACCCATATGGAGTTTGCTCAGGACATCCTCTCCTCCTAACATTTCCTCTTCCCAAAATTCTAATTCTGCCTCCAAAAGATTTTGAATGCCACATTTTAAGGATTTTTAACCTCTCCCACTGGAGGGTTCTAATCCAGTCAACGAAGGATCCTCATCCCTCTAACCCAGCCCTAGAGATCTAGATCTGCAACCCCAGGGATTCCCTTCCTTCTGCTGAGTGATCCCAACTTCATTCCCAAAGGATTTTAATCTGCCCCCCTATTCTAATCGGCTCTTCCAATGATTCCAACCCTTTCCTATGGAGGGTTCTAACCCTGCCTATCAAAGGATGCTAACCCACCCTCACCTCTCACACAGGATTCTAATCCCACTCTAATCTGTTTCTACCACCACCATTCCAACCTCCTCTTTCTAGGCCGACCCCCTCCCCCACGCCGGATCCCAAGCCTCCCTGTCCCTCCTGTGGTCAGTGGTTTCAGTTCCACAGGCTCTGCACTATTCAAACGCCATGCAAAATTCCTCACCCGCAAGAACAGCCTGGGCTCCTTGCTCGCCAGCTTCCGGGCAGTTTTGGAGGACCTCACAAATTGAGTGGGCAGGAAATCGGCTGAAGGCCCAGCATGAAGGAAATGTGCCCAGCACTAGGTAAAGGCAGAGCACAGGGGTTCCTGGAAAAGAGAGTGCTGTCACCCCATATTCTGCCACGCACACCTCCAAAATGTACAAGAATCCTCCTGCACTCCCAGTGCTACCAGACATTCAGGCCGTCATCATCTCTCCTTGATTCATTCCTTCCACAACTCTGCTGCATGCTGGGTTCACCCCCCAACCCAGGCAATCAACCTCAGCACTATTGGCTTTTGGGTAGTGTAATTCTTTGTTGTGAAGGGCTGTCCTGTGCCTGATAAGTTTAACAGCATTTCTGGACTCTTACCCACTACATGCCAACAGCTACTCCTTTCCTCCCTTGTAACAACCAAAAATGTGTCCAGACAGGACCAAATGTCTCCCACCCCCACGACAGAATGACAAATGAGGAAGATAATGAAGATATTTATTTTATTTGTTTTTTTTTTTTTTAATAGAGGCATGTTTTTATTTATTTATTTGTTTGTTTGTTTGTTTGTTTATACATGCACTGGGTACAGTCAGAAGCGCGGGAGGGTGAGAGAATTCACCAGAGCCAGAGCGGGGAGCAGAGCAGGCAGAAGGGCCGAAGTACACTGCTGAGGGGAGCAGTGGGCGGCAGGAGAGGTCTGCACGCCATGTGGGACCCTCCTCCTGTGGCCGGGGAGCAGCCGGGGATCGAACCGGCGCCGCAGAGGCCGCGGCAGCTTCGCAACCCAGCGCTCAACCGCTGCGCCACCGGGGAGGCCCTGAGGAAGATAATGAACCTGCTTGTTTGTGTTTGACATATGTGCTTAAGATGTGTATGCACTTTAAAGAAATACTCTTTTAATTGTGTGTTCAATTTACTTGAATGGTATACTTGTTCAATTTTGTACCTATTAATATCTAGCCACACTGCTGAAGGTAACAACTGTGCAATCATTTTCTGCACCCCCCTCCCCACAGTTTATTTAACCATCCCCTAATCACTGGACACCTATATGGCACATGACTTCACACTACCTTACACAGTGCCAGGTGGACATCCTCCTACACGGCCCTTGGGGAACCTAGTGAGAATTTTGTCACTTGCTTTGCCAAGAATGACAGATGCTTGGGGAATAGCTGCTTCCCTAATCCTTCTTCTACCATCTACCCATATCTACACCGACCCTTTGTATCATTCACCGGCCTTAATTTCAGTTCTCCAGCAGCACACCCCAGGGCATCTGAGTGAAAGTAGGTTATTTGGGAGATACAGAAAACACTGGTAGATATGTGAGTGAATGGGACAGGGAAGGAAAGGAAGCCAATTAAGAAATCAAGTTACAGCTGTGGACTACTGGGCCTCAGTCCTGCTGGGGCTGGGATCTCTGGAGACAGTGTGTTATACCCCACTTCAGAGCTGCCCCTCTGGGAGATGAGGAAGCTAGGGAAACTCCTGACTGTCATTGGATGAGGGATGCTTCCGGGGGCTATTAATCTTCCTGCCCTATTCATGCTCTAGTCACGGAGAGAGCGTCCAGGAAGAGAAGTGGAGGTTCTGAGGGCCCGAGAAGCTCATCATCAGTATTAGCTACACCTTCCACTAGTTTGATGGCATTTTGATGGCAAAGGGCCTGAGATAGCCGAAACATTCTTCAGTCAATTTTCCCAATTATTTTTTGCTAGTAAAGTAGTGCTGCCATAAAAATACATGTTCCCAAAATTCCTATCAACTTTATTGTGGCATAGTTTTACAAATAAAACACACCATTATAGGGGCCTCCCCGGTGACTCAGCAGGTTGAGCACAGCGCTATGAAGCTGTAAGCAGCCTCTGCAATGCAGGTTCGATTCCCGGCTGGCCAGGGAGAGTCCCACATGGTGCAGAGGACCTCTCCTGTCGCGCCCACTGCTCCCCTCAGCAGTGTGTTTGGGTTCGTCTGCCTGTTCTGCTCCCCACTCTGTCTCTGGTGAATCCTCTCATCCCCCCCTACCTCTGTTCTGTACCCCAGCTCTTGTATAAATAAAAAATCTTTAAAAAAAAACACCACTATAAATATTCAGCTTCATAAGTTTGGCAACTGTGTACACCTGTGTAACTACCACCCTAATTAAGATACAGAACATTTTGATCACCCCAAAAGCTTCCTTATGTCCTACTATATAGTCAGCTTCTCCCACCCATTGCCTTAGGTAATCACTGATTAGCTTTTTGTCATAGATTAGCTTTGTCTTTTCTAGAATTTCACATAAATGTAATCATACTATACATTTCTTATGTATCTCTCCTTTTATTTACATATTGCTTTTGAGATTTTCTATATTGTTATATGTTCTGGTGCTTTGCTTCTTTTACTACCAAGTAATATTTCTTACTGTAGATATACCCCCCTGTTTATCAATTACTTGTTTGTTTTTTTTAAAGATTTATTTATTTATACAAGCACTGGGTACAGTCAGAAGCCCAGGAGGGTGAGAGAATTCACCAGAACCAGAGCAGGGAGCAGAGCAGGCAGACTGACGAAATACACTGCTGAGGGGAGCAGTGGACGCCTCAGGAGAGGTCTGTTGCGCCATGTGGGACCCTTGCCAGTGGCCGGGGACCGAACCGGCACTGCAGAGGCTGCAGGCAGCTTCTCAGCCCAGCACTCAACTGCTGCGCCATGAGGGGAGGCCCTCAATTACTTGTTAATGGACACTTGGGCTGTTTTTAGTTTTTGGCAATACGAATAAAGCTATTATGAACTTTCACATACATGTTTTCATTTCTCTTGGGTAAATACTTAGGACCCAAATTGCTAGGGCATAGAGCAAAATGTATGTTTAACTTTGTAATAGACTGCTAAATTGATTTTGTAAGTGATATACCATCTTACAGTCCCACCAACAATGTTCAATTTCTGGTTTCTCCAGAAATTTTGGCAGTTTGGTGTCATCATTCTTTATTTTCTTTTTTAAAGATTTATTTTTTATTTATAAAATAGCTGGGGTATAGGCCAGAGGCTTGGGAGGGTGAGAGGATTCACCAAAGACAGAGTGGGGAGCAGAACAGGCAGACAGACCGAAAGCACTGCTGAGGGGAGCAGTGGGAGCAACAGGAGAGGTCTGCTGCACCATGTGGGACTCTCCCTGGCCGGCCGGGAATCGAACCTGTGCTGCAGAGGCTGCCGACAGCTTCACAGCGCTGTGCTCAAAACGCTGCGCCACCGGGGAAGCCATCATCATTCTTTTTAACTAAAAGAACATTTTCCATCTAACTCATAAGAGCATCAAAGAGCATTTATAGAATCATAAATTTTATCCTAAAACACCACCTTACCAGCATTTGGGGTGGTAGGCATCCATTGTCATGAGAAATACAGCTGACAACAAGATGTGATGTTAAATGCTGCATCTTTGGAATCACACCAGAATTCAAATGACACTTATGAACTGAGTAACTTTGTACAAATCGAGTCTCCTCTCTGAACCTGTTTCTTTATGTATCAATTGAAAATAACAACGGTGTTTACCTCAGTGAGTCATTGTGAAAATCAACTAACATCTCATGTCCAAGGATGATATGTATTATAAGAAAAATAAA